AACAATGTTGAAACATGCGGTAAAAGGCAGGAAAAGGGAGCGAACTGAAAATCCGCCACGATCCATATTTTGACCAACGATCAACAAAAAAGACGATTGTTTCAACTGTACCTCGACCAATCTTAAAGGCAAACCTTAACTTGTTACATTCACATGCAAAATCATCCAGATGTTAGAGATGTTTAACAGCTTCAAAAATAAGGAAAAGGTAACGACTAAACAGTAGAATTATGAGAGAGTCGAACGGGACACTTGCACTGGAGTAAATCTATTAATTCGTGAGGTGTGCTCAGTATTCAATATCTGATTGTAAATAACTGCAAAAGTTTTATTTAGTGCCCAGGAACAGTATATAAGCATGGAGGGAAGAGTACCGTTTTGATCTGGAGAGACATCGCACTGCAGATTGGAGAACGATGTAACTACCTGTTATCAGGATAGTTTATGCTGTTCATATTCATAAGCGGATATGACGGCTGTGGCTGCCGATACGCGAAAAGATGATGATACACTGCATCTAGTTTCGTGCTTTAGAAACTCAAGATTTACGACATATAGGTCTACCGATTTTCTCAGGATACAGTTTCTATAACTGTATCGCTTCCTGAAACCATTCTAAGTCTCATTCGGGGCTGCTCTTTTAAACCCGTGAGAGCACATGAGTTCTTGAACCCTCGAGAGTTCAGACTTTATTAAGATAGTAATTTCATTTAGTTTTGAGGTATTTTACTTTTCCAGACGAAGTCTAGTTAAAGTCCGCGAGGTCAGAACGTGGTTAAGTACTCGAGAGGTCTTCATCGGACAGCAAGAATCAATTACAAAGTTGTGTGTAAGACGAGACGACGTCGACCTCGGTAAACGAGAGCCGGCAAATCACTAGTCTCGAATATATGAAGTGTTTGGTTCATGCCTGATTCATGCAATATCAACGGACAGTTCTTGGGATCGGTGAGAAGCTGAGCGACAGGTAGCTATGTCGGTTGTAAAACACACAGATGACCCGGTGATCGGAGTTCGGCAAGAGTGCATAGTTAGTTGCAAAGACGTACACTCAACATTGATGAACACATGACGTAGTGTGCTATCCAGGCACTTTTGAAAGGCGACCGTGTGTCGCAAACCCAAGGAAGCAAAATCGCTGATATCACGGTCTCCTGAGACTTTGTCATTATTTGTTATTTGGCGTTGCTAAGGAAAATCTTGCTCTGAAAGATTCAATCACTAATTCATACGATGCAACGTATGTTGCAAAGGAGTTTAGATCAACAAAACGCTAGTAGTCTTTCGTCGAAATCTGACCACAAAAGAGTGAATGCTGTCAGTAGAAAAAGACCAATAAAAGACAAGGTAGTCATTCCATGATCTGTAGATTCATATTCTGATGGCTCCACAGAATTTTTTCTTCAAGAAACATATCAGTCGAAGAAGACAAAGTTACTGAGCTGAGCACAGTCGTCGTCAATCAGACCACGTAATTATGTTTCCCCACAAATATCCGGAATATACTGCTAAAAAAGTTGAGTTGTAACGAGAAAAGTTCGTTTATTTTTTTGGTGACTGAAGGACAGTTTGCAGAGAGGATAAAAAGAAACTGCATCTAGAGTGGACAGATCTTTTCCAACGCATGTACTTTGTGTATTCAGACGTGAATCCATTATTACGTAGACAACATCTCAGACTTCCATGTCTGAAAGATGCCAGCCTGCCGAAACATGGTATTTATACATATTTCGAGTAACAGGAAGTTAATAAGTGAAAGTAATTC